ATATAGATTTTGAGTGAATCTTCAGTAAATGGAGTGACCATTTAAAAGCCGTGTTTTGCGTTTATCTCTGTTGTCTTTATCTTATACTAAAATTAGTTGGATGATCTGAAACATTTAAACGTGGCAAATGAGCAAAAATAAAAGAAATCAGTTGAGGGGCAAATACTTTTTCACAGTTCAGCCGGTGGTCTAATTTTGGATTCATCTACATAAATGCATATATTTTGAAAGCTCCTGCCCAGCCCATTCTCCTTCCCACTCCAATCCCCAACATATTGGTGGAATCGGGAATCGTCGTGTCCGGTTTGCGCTGATTTAAATCTCGCAGCGCTGCAGTCGGAGCTTCCGGGTGTTTCTGTTGCTGTTGGTGTAAACAGTCTGCAGTGACAGCGGCTGCTTCTGTTCCTTTACATAAGAAACAGAACATAAACAACAGACAACAGAATGCAGCCGAATTCCCACTGCAAACAGAAAGGCCTCGACGTTGTGCCCAGAATTTCAGTGCTTTTGTTGGATATTTTCTCGTTAACAGGGTAAAGTCGACACCACCGTCGCTGATGTGCACACAGACCCCTCCTGTCCTTTTCCCAAACTGCCGTGTCCCTCAGGGCTGCAGGGAGATCACCAGCTCTCGGTAGAGCACAGCGAAGACACTCCTGAGAGACCTGCGCTCTCATCTCCTCCGTCCTGGTGTTTACTGAGCGCAGTATGTGGAGGAGGAGGTCTTGTACACCGTGTCTGCTCCTCTTCTCTCACCCGTCTCCTCCTCCCTCCTTCCTCAGCTCAGTGGACACAGAATCCACAGTCGCTGAAGTCTTCTGGTTCCTTGTACTCCAGGAAGACACTGAGGGTCGGAGTCTTGACAGCGTCTCTGTGCCACACAGCGGGGGGAGTAGGGTCTCCTCACCGGCGCTGATTAGTTCCCACAGACACTGTTGGCTTCTGCAAACTGTTTATCATCTGCACATCACATAAAATCAACAAACCCAGGAACCTCACAGGCCTCGTTTTCACCCAACATACACCAAATGCACATTTAAACAACAGTAAACGACTCGACTGGACACGGTTGACCGCCAAGCAGCGCACCGGAAGGGCCTCCCCATTAACCCCCATTAACCCCATAATGCCCTGTGACCCCCATCAGTGCTCAGTGGTCAGTAATATAAACCAGTTCAGTTTCAGATGAAAATATAAATGATTCTAATTAGACTCTCTCTCTCTCTCTCTCTCTCTCTCTCTCTCTCTCTCTCTCTGTCTCTCTCTCTCTCTCTCTCTGTCTGTCTCTCTCTCTCTCTCTCTCTCTCTGTCTCTCTCTCTCTCTGTCTCTCTCTCTCTCTCTCTCTCTCTCTCTCAGTGTGTTATTATCTGTATTGTTCTATTCTCTATAGAAGTGCGGTCAGTGTGAGTGGACTGTACTGACCTAATCACACACTCTTCATATGTGCAGTGTGTAAGTGTGAGTGTGTGTGTGTGTCAGTGAGTGTGTGTGTGTGTGTCAGTGTGTGTGTCAGTGAGTGTGTGTGTGTCAGTGAGTGTGTGTGTGTGTGTCAGTGATTGTGTGTGTGTGTCAGTGATTGTGTGTGTCAGTGTGTGTGTGTGTCAGTGTGTGTGTGTCAGTGAGTGTGTTATAGTGTATGTGTCTGTGTCAGTGTGAGAGTGTGTGTGTGTCAGTGATTGTGTGTGTGTCAGTGATTGTGTGTGTGAGTCAGTGTGAGAGTGTGTATGTATGTGTGTGTGTCAGTGATGTGTGTGTGTCAGTGATTGTGTGTGTCAATGTGAGTGTGTGTGTGTGTGTGTGTCAGTGTGAGAGTGTGTGTGTGTGTCAGTGTGTGTGTGTGTGAGTCAGTGTGTGTGTGTGAGTCAGTGTGTGTGTGTGTGTATGTGTGAGTCAGTGTGTGTGTGTGTGTGTGTGTGAGTTAGTGTGTGTGTGTGAGTCAGTGTGTGTGTGTGTGTGTGTGGTCATGTGTAGTGTGGTCAGTGTGTGATGTGTGTGTGTGTAGTGTGAGTCAGTGTGTGTGTGTGTGAGTCAGTGTGAGAGTGTGTGAGTGAGTCAGTGTGTGTGTGTGAGTCAGTGTGTGTGTGTGTGTATGTGTGAGTCAGTGTGTGTGTGTGTGTGAGTTAGTGTGTGTGTGTGTGTGTGAGTCTGTGAGTCAGTGTGTGTATGTGTGAGTCTGTGAGTCAGTGTGTGTGTGTGTGAGTCAGTGTGTGTGTGTGTATGTGTGAGTCAGTGTGTGTGTGTGTGTGAGTCAGTGTGTGTGTGTGTGTGTGAGTCAGTGTGTGTGTGTGTGAGTCTGTGAGTCAGTGTGTGTGTGTGTGAGTCAGTGTGCGTGTGTGTGTGTGAGTCAGTGTGTGTGTGTGTGAGTCAGTGTGTGTGTGTGTGTGTGTGAGTCAGTGTGTGTGTGTGTGTGTGAGTCAGTGTGTGTGTGTGTGTGTGTGAGTCAGTGTGTGTGTGTGTGTGTGAGTCAGTGTGTGTGTGTGTGAGTCAGTGTGTGTGTGTGTGTGAGTCAGTGTGTGTGTGTGTGAGTCTGTGAGTCAGTGTGTGTGTGTGTGAGTCAGTGTGTGTGTGTGTGTGTGAGTCAGTGTGTGTGTGTGTGTCTGTGAGTCAGTGTGTGTGTGTGTGAGTCAGTGTGTGTGTGTGTGTGTGAGTCAGTGCTGCTGAAGGGGTGAATATTAAATGAGCTGGTAGTGAAAGGTGTGTGATGATCCTCTATAATGAATAAATGAATAAATGAATAATAGATGAAGTGTTGGGGGGGTGAGGGGGGCAGGTGTTGGACAGGTGCAACAGTGACCTTTACTCAAAGGTTCACTCTCTCAGTATCGCCCCCTGCTGCCCTTATTTGCTAATAACATGCTGCACCTGCATGCTTAACTCAAGCAAATAATAACCCATAATCCATAACCCATAATTCATAAACCATAATCCATAACCCATAATTCATAACCCATAATCCATAACCCATAATTCATAAACTATGATCCATAACCTATAATTCATAACCCATACTACATAAAGCATAATTTACCTTACTTAGAATTTAATTTAAATTAATTTCTACATCTTTTTGTTATTTATTTTTTACATTTATCAGTGTTTTATATGATTTTAAATGAATACTCAGAATTTCTTCTTGTAAAGCACCTTGAGCTGCCGCTGGCATGAAGACTGTAATATAAATAAAGATTTGTATTATTATTTATTATTATAAACCATAAACCATGATAATAATACACAAACCATAACCCATAAACCATAAACAATAATGCATCATCCATAATCCATAAACCATAATCAATAATCCATAACCTGTAATCCATTATACATAAACAATAATCCATAAACCATAATCCATAAACAATAATCCATAACCTGTAATCCATTATACATAAACAATAATCCATAAACCATAATCCATTATCCATAAACAATAATCCATAATCCACAATCCATAAACCATGATCCATAGGCCGTAATGTATAAATCATAAACCATAATCAGTAATCCATAAACCACCATCCAAAATCCATCACCAATAATCCATAACCCATAAACCATAATCCCTAAACCAGACATCAAAATCACTCCTGAGCAGTGAGAATGTTTTCAGTGTGAATTCAGGCAGAGCTTTTCGGCTCCTGTGTGCTCCACACAGAGAGGTGGAGGGCGGAGTTTGACAGAGGGAGAGGTTTGAAAGAGGGCGGGGTTTAATAGAGGGCGGAATTTGACAGAGGGAAACGTTTGACAGGGCAGAGTTTGACAGAGGGCGGGGTTTGACAGAGGGCGGGGTTTAGCAGAAGATGGGTTTGACAGAGGGAGAGGTTTGACAGGGCGGAGTTTGACAGAGCGCAGGGTTTGACCGAGGGCGGGGTTTAACAGAGGGCGGGGTTTGATCGAGGGCGGGGTTTAGCTGTGGGTTGGGCTTTGGCTGATTAAGAGTCCAGGTTTTATTTGAGCCCCTATAAAACCTCAGTGGGTTCCTGAGTGTAACAGCTGCTGTGATTTTAGATGATGGATTTACTGAAAAGTTCCTCTGCAGCTCTGTTAGAACCTCAGAACCTCAGAACCTCAGAACCTCAGCGGTGTTTAAACTGCTACTTTTGTCCTTTCACTCCTGTGTGTTAAAGGCAGCATTACTGCTGGATGGGTTTCAGATGCTCGCAGTCCTGAGTAAATTACACTAAAGCTCTACTCTTTAAATCTGTACAGTGTAAAACGAAACTGTATCAGAGTTCATCAGAGTCAGAGTCACCCTGATTACTGTTCTCCAGCTGTTTTATTCCTCATGATCCTCCCGTCACCATCCTGTCAGCACTGCGCTCTGCGTGTTCTTCACACTTTTGTTGTCTGTCTTTTGTTTTTGTTTTTGTTATTGTTATTGTTATTGTTGTCTCTTTGGCTGTTAGTTATTGTTCCTGTTAGCTCCGTCATACTTTTCCATCAGAATGTAAAATAACTTCCTGTATTGGTCCTGAAAATGACAGGAAAACATTCACAGCTCGTCTTTTCTCTTTATTCCTTTAAAACTGTGAGAGCTGAGTTTGAGATCAGTGTAAAAGCTGTCTTTGTCTCAGGAAGCAGGATTTCTAGTTTGGCCACCTTTAAGCTTAGTTCAGTCTAATCCTGGATTCTTTGTCTCACAATGGTGGATCATTTTTACAGAGATACATCACCGTTAATGCCTTCTGACCAATCAGAGCTGAGCTAATCAGGTCTAAGCTTCTGATATGTACTCTACAGATGTGAAGAATATAAGCAGATATTCCTTCATTAAGCACTGACGCTGTTGAAGATGGCTGTGCGCTGTGCTGGTTTAGTAGCAGCCTGACCTCTAACACACAGCAGGCCAGTCAGTGCGTCGGTGTTACGGACGAACTAACAAAAATACTGTTTATTGTTTGTTTGTTTTGTTTTTTAGGTCATATTTGTTCCTGCATTCTGCTTTGATCACTGTGAGTTAGTATTTCTTAATGACTGTGCTCTCTGTCTCCCCCTTCAGGACCCACGCAGTAAGCACAAGTTTAAGGTGCACACCTACTCCAGCCCAACGTTCTGTGATCACTGCGGTTCACTGCTGTATGGCCTCATCCACCAGGGCATGCGATGCGAACGTGAGTAACACTCATCCAGCTACACTCGTCCAGCTACACCCATCCAGCTACACCCGTCCAGCTATACTCATCCAGCTACACTCGTCCAGCTACACTCATCCAGCTACACCCGTCCAGCTACACTCATCCAGCTATACTCGTCCAGCTACACTCATCCAGCTACACTTGTCCAGCTATACTCATCCAGCTACACCCGTCCAGCTATACTCATCCAGCTATACTCGTCCAGCTACACTCATCCAGCTACACCCGTCCAGCTATACTCATTCAGCTACACTCGTCCAGCTACACTCATCCAGCTACACTTGTCCAGCTACACTCATCCAGCTACACTCGTCCAGCTACACTCATCCAGCTATACTCGTCCAGCGACATTCATCCAGCTACACTCATCCAGCAACACTTGTCTAGCTACACTCATCCAGCTACACTCGTCCAGCTACAGTCGTCCAGCTACACTTCTGTAGCTTTTCATTTCTGTGCATCACTAGTTATAACTGACCTATATTTGAACTGAAATACATTAAGGGGGCGGGACTTTGTGCTCAATAGAAACAGAACTGTAATTCCAACACAGAAATGTAAATAAGGTTTATTTACTCTCTAAAAACAATATATTCACTAAATTTGAGGGCATCATGACATTCTGCTCTCGGTCATCCGCTGGACATCCTCACAGCAGGAACCGTGGCTGTATGTTCTGACGGTGTAGGACGCAGTAAAGCCGTCCAGGTTACGTTCTCTCAGTAAACACTGGACCATCGACACCAGAACGAGAGACGCTGAGGCTCCGTTTCTGTGCAGACGATCTGTTTGTCCTCAGGAAATGGAACGAGCTCAAAGCTGAAGCTAAGAGCTGCTTTGGCAGGATGACAGTATCTCACCAGCCGCTGGCTGCAGGGGGACACAGCAGCGCTTCATTCGCTCATGACTGCAGTTAAGAGTAAAGTGTTTTCCCAAATCTCTG